GACCTCTGTGGAATCCACCAACACACCCACAGAGATTACATGCGCAACTGTTTGGACAAAACAGCCCTAACAAACTAAGAATTCAACAATAGAGGCTCAGCAGGGTCACATTTTACATAACAAAGAACAAGATAAGACTGCTGTAGAAAGAGTGCAGAGATGGGTGTGCCTCTTTTCTTGCATCATGTGTACACCACTGATGTCCGAGTCCTGGGACAGAACAGGCTGCAACTTAGAAAAATAAAAGTTTATTTATAATAAATTATATATATATATTCAATTGTGTAGGTGTAAAGGTGTAGGTGCAACCTGCTTCTTCATCCATTTTCTCACTCAATATGGGTGTCAGTAACTCATATTAAAAAAAAAAAAAGACAAAAAAAATTAGTATTCAATATATAGGTCTATTATTCAGAATGAACATCAGTTTTGATTGTACCTAAAATTATAAATGGTTTCATAAATATGTGATGGTAAAAGATACATTTATATTCCAGTTTACTCATTTTAATCTATATGTAGTATTGAGGTATGATCTGAGAACTGGTGGTTCCAAGGGAAGTGAGTGATAATACAATGTCATCATTTCAATACTAATAAACAGAAGTCAAATAAAAAAAAATTTTTGGCAGTCCACTTTTGATCTCTGACATATCATGATGGAGAATGTTCTACAAAAGCTCTAATGTTAGTTACAATTTGCATCATAATAATAGTGAGATCATCTAAGATTTGCTTCATTCATAATTAAACCCTTCATTGCCCCAAACTCAGAATATAAATCACCTTATTAACTAAAGCAAAACTGAAACAATGCATATCGTTGTGACATTATAGCTCGCCCCCTTTGCCTTTGTTTAAATGAACACACAATTCTGACAATTTGACAGATTTGTGAACAATTACAGCGTAAAATGCATTATTTATTAAGACGTAAAAATTTCAAAAATACAAAAAAATATAAATATTTTTGGTGCAAGACACTGGCTGCTCGCTCTCGTCCTTGACGTCACGTGTACTCGGTAATAATATCATATCAAAACATAGCCTAGTATCCAACATGACATATCCAGATATGACAGCTACAAGTGCAAATCCCAGCGGAGCAATTGTTTCATTTACAGCACAGTATACGGCGTTTGGGCTTATATGAATGCAACGGGTTATATAAATCTGACAGGCTATACACAGATGCTAATGAAACAGGCGCGCGAGCGACTCAATCAAATAAAACGACTCAGAGGCCGAGCGAATTCGCAAATCGTACCTGTTTTAGGCTGGACGTTTTCCTAATTGTCAAGGCTGTACCGCTTTGTCGCTCCAGTTAATGCTTCAGTAGGATGCGACGGAGCTGTCAGTGCTGCTGCTGCTGGTTCAGTCCATGAGTCTGCAAGAGAAGAGAGGGATGACGTATGCGCGTTGCTGAGTGCTGATGATATGCGAGGATTATCCAAAACCATTCTATCTGCTTATGCTCGGTAGCGCTGAGGCGTTTGGTTCATCTCAGTGACTCGATTCTTTTGAACCAGTTCACTGATTCGTTCAGGGACTCTTTTTGTTTTGTGTTTCAACGTCCGCCAAAAGGTGGCGACAGTGAGTCGTTTTTGTTATGACTCGTTCGCTCATATGATTCTTCATTTGACAGTTCAAATGTTGAAGGTCATCGGTCGTTATGATTTTTACACATTGTATTGTTTTGCCACCTACTTTCTCGCATGTTGAAACTGACTGACTGATTCACTGATGTGATGAGAATGAGTTGACTAGTTTCATTTGGTGCGAAAAAAAGTCTCTCAAGATTGAAAGAAAAAAATGATTCATTGTATGTATGCAAGTGAAAGAGAACGATTCGTTCGCCTAAAACATTGGTTTCTCGATACACAATAGGACATATGTGCCATTTCAAATAAAACATTGCTGTCCATATGTTTTCATTGAGTAAATTCCAGACAATGCAGCTGTTGCTTTGAAATGCATTCCCACCACATGGCAGATGTGCCTGGGATGCTACCCAGCATACAGCAATCCATATATTTTTAACAAGGGCTCTATAGTTTGACATTTCGTCCAAAACATGTTGTTTGTTGCTTGCCGGGGCCGTGTGAACAGGATCCTTTAAACAGAAGAATGTGGTGCAATATGGCATCTACAATAGGCAATATTCTTTATTTTGGTTTTCCAAATAGAAACTTTGGGTCTGTAAATTTGTCAGTAAATTGAATAACAAGAAAAGAAAATAATGAAAAACGTGCTGGCGAACGTATTCAGAAAAAAAATAAAAATAATAATTATATATATATATATATATATATATATATATATATATATAATTCTGCGGTCTGATGAATCCTGTACCAGTCATTACATTATTCATATTTAATAATTATATTGGAAATATTATTATATTATACAGTATCTCACAGAAGTGAGTTTTTTATATCTTTTCATGTGACAACACTGAAGAAATGACACTTTGCTACAATGTAAAGTAGTGAGTGTACAGCTTGTATAACAGTGTAAATTTGCTGTCCCCTCAAAATAACTCAACACACAGCCATTAATGTCTAAACCGCTGGCCACAAAAGTGCGTACACCCCTAAGTGAAAATGTCCAAATTGGGCCCAAAGTGTCAATATTTTGTGCGCCCACCATTATTTTCCAGAACTGCCTTAACTCTCTTGGGCATGGAGTTCACCAGAGCTTCACAGGTTGCCTCTGGAGTCCTCTTCCACTCCTCCATGACGACATCACGGAGCTGGTGGATGTTAGAGACCTTGCATCCGTTTTTCTCTCAACTGTTTACTTTCATTTTAGACATAACCAACTGAGTCTATATGTAAACCTTGTGTGTTTCGTCAGTATTAGCGCAAAAGATAACTTATTTCAGTAATCAGGCGCTGTTTGACAGGCTTTTTAGTGCGGCGCTCAGAAAAGGCGCACGTCAGACCAGCGCGCGAATGAAACATTTAACCGGTAAGGCTTTAAAGCAGATGCAAATAATGTACTTTTGTGACTGCGAATAAGTACAGTGTCCTGTGATAGTAACTCTACCGCTGAGTTAACATTAAAGTGAATGCATGTGGCGTACCCAGCATATTGAGATGGAGGCGCTAGAACTGCAACTGATATCAAAATCAACAAAAGAGCAATGATATACAAGTGCTATAACAAGTCTCAGTTAGCTTAACACAGTTCACGTAGCAAGTTTTTTTTTTTAAATAATATAATAAATAAAAAGAAAACAGCTAGAATAGAAACAGAATAGAGCAAACTGGTGTTAGAGGTCTTTTTTGCTTTTGTTAATTGTATAATAAATGAAAAGAAAACAGATAGAATACAAAAAGATTAGAAAGCAAGTGTTAGTTTTTTTTTTATATATATATATATAAAGAAAATAAGCAGCAAATGAATAGAGTGCAAGTGTTTTTTTTTAAAGAATAGAATTAGAATAGAGTGTGCTAGAGTTAGAGGGTCAAATAAAGATGGAAGAGATGTGTTTTTAGCCGATTTTTGAAGATGGCTAGGGCAGCTGCTCGGATTGAGTTGGGCAGGTCATTCCACCAGGAGGGAACATTTAATTTAAAAGTCCGTAAAAGTGATTTTGTGCTTCTTTGGGATGGTTATTAATTCATTAATTTATTAAAAAATATTTATTTATTCATTTATAAAAATATTTATTAATTCATTCGTTTATAAAAATTATTTCTTCATTCATTCATTCATTCATAAACATGTATTTATTCATTCAAAATATTGTTTTTAATCATACATTCGTTTATAAATTATGTATTTATTCATTCATAAAAATATTACTTAATTCATTCATTCACAGAAAATATTTATTCATTCATAAAAAGTTTATTTATAAAACTTACAAATGAGGACAACAGAAGCAATCAATTGTAGTATTAAAACAACTAAAAACAGATCCAAAACTAAAAGCTGAAACTTTATAAATACTACCTATACACATTTTAAAAATAAAGAGATTAAATAAAAATGACAAATGCATACAACAAAATTTCAAAACTTAACATTTAAATGAAAAACAAATATAAAACTAAAAACAATTCAAAATATTGAAGAACAAATGGTATAAGAGTATAATAATGATTCTAACATAACACTAAGCCAAACACCAAAAAAACAACTACATATGTGTATGTACAACCACACACACATACATACATATGCATATATATATATATACACACATTTATAAATTCAATATATATATATATTATTTCATTTCCATTTAGTTTGTTGGAGTATTAAAATAACTCAAATTAAATTAAACTAAAAACTTAATAAAAGACCTATATAGACATAATAAATTCAGACATAATGTAACTAAAATTAAAATAAATCACAAATACAAATAATACAAATCAAATGTAGTTTATCAGTAATCCTAAAAAATAACACTGCCAAACACACATGCTAAAAAACAACAACTTACTTACACATAGTAAGAAATGGTTATAAAAACTGAAACAGAAGCGAAACAAGTAATAGGAAAGAGGAGAAATAAAAAGCAATACTGATACTTAATAAAAATATATATTATTTTAATTCATTAATTTAATCAAAATTTACATTGATGTTAACATGTAAAAATGACATACAAATAAAGGCACTGACCTGGCAGACAGGTGCAGGCATAGGTGGTGTCGCTGGTCTGAAAGCAGGTCCCTCCGTTCCAACTGTTTAATGGCTCTACAGTTGCTTCAAGGTTCCTGCGGGCTGAACTGGAACTGAACGCACGGTTGCGGACAGTATATATATATACACTCATTTCCAATGATATTTGACGTTATTAAAAAAAAAAAACTATATGTATATATATATATTTTGTAATAACGTCAAATATCAGCGTAACGCACGATCCCAAGTATGTGGTCGCCTCCCACGTCCCACCTAGCGGCCAGTTTCAGGTACTGCACATCTGTTATTTATGCAGGGAAACGGGAAAAGGCCAATCAAAAATAAGGATACTAGCATGTGGAGCGGCTGCCTAAAGGAAGCCTAGTTGCTACAGCGTCGTCCCTAGTGTCTTACCAGGCAAGAAATATGGAGGAAATAGAAGGTAAGGCTTTAAATAAACAAAAGAGGCCTACGTAAATATTTGAATATGACGCATCTAACCATTTAAAACTCAATCCGCGTGGTTGTAAAAGAGAAACTAGCTTTGGTTTATTCGGTCGCTGTTGTTTGAGGTTATCACCATGGAAGAAAATGACGGTTTATAGAGAGAGATTGATGAATAGATTGCTGAAGTGCTTTTGTTGTGATATTTGACTCATGTGAAGTGAGCTGCAGCAAAACAAACTTGCACTAAATTTCAATGATTTGTTCTGGTCTGTTTAAAAAAAAAAAATCAAATGTCAAATCCTTTACATATCATTCAGAAAAGACTTTTCTCCCCTCCATCCTTAGGTTCCTGCCTTGAGTCAGTTGTTTTGCATGGACTGACTGGAGTGACCTATTTTCACATACTTCTGCTTGATCTGTTCTCATTTGTTTAGCTAATCTAAAGCCACTGTATCTGAGTGAACTGGTCAGCACACCCAAATAGACTGAACTATTGATCTTTATCATTTTTGTGTTTGTTTTTCAATTTTATCGTGTTTTTTTTTTTTAAATCAATTTTATCATGTTGATCTGTTACTATTTGTGTTTTGTATACAGAATCTCCTCCTGTTTCTGAAGACCTGCTGCCCTGCAAAATATGTGGAAGAAACTTTTTTTCAAGGGTTCTTGTGAGTATTTCTGAATGGATGATGAATTGACAGCTGGTGGTTGATTTGAATTGTCTTGCCGTTCAAATGTGTGCACAAACATAAAAATCCCAATGTGACATTCTAAATTCAACAACTATATAAATAATATTTTTCACTAGGTTACAGTATGTGCATTATTATGTGTTGCCTAGCAAGTTGCAGTAAACACAAAACCTGGTATTATTACTCAGTCAACGCAGTGCTGTCACAGTTATTTGATACCTGCCCTCCTTATTACCTGTTGTAGAAGAAACATGTGCTAATCTGCCAGAAGACAGCAGCAAAGAAAAGGAAGGTTTTCGACTCCTGCAGGCAAAGGGCAGAGGGGACCGACATTTCTACAGTCAAACCCATAAAACCAAAGGTGAGGAAACAACCCCACTTAAAACATTACAGTGACACTTTTATACTATTTGTTTGGTCCGGAATCTAGTTTACCTTGAACAGTATATGTTCCCTTCCTGTTCACAGTTGATGGGAAGTGAACCGTGAGTGATTACATCCAGTCTATTGTTCAGACTGCTGCACATTCAGAAACAGTGTCGTGTGCTGCTGCTATAAAATCCATCTGCAGTGTCACAGCATACATTGGCAAAAGTGTTGTTCACCAACTTCATTTTAGTAGTAAGAGCAACATGAGCATAAAGGCAAAGAATCCATTTTACTGGCTTTTAAGCCTCATTGCCTAGCAACACTGTTATCAATTGCCAGTTATGTATAGCTAATAATAAAATTAAAGATATTTTGTAAGGCTAAGGTTTACGCTGAATCAACATGCTAACGTCCAATAGGCATTTGACTTTTTCTGCATCAGAATAAAAACCTCAATGTTAATCTGTTATTACATACCTCCCCAGTCTAGGGATGGGAAGGAGTAATAAAGAAAGTGGTGGAGGAATGGAGGGAGCGTTCCCCTTCTACTGACTCCCACGCAACACCATAATCGATGCAAAACAGAATAATTTATTAAACACAAGGAAGCAAACAGAACTTCAGGAGGGGTCAAGGCCAACATAAGAAACAGAACATACTAACTCCCAAAAGCAATATACCTAATCTAACATAAAAGAAAAACACTAACACCCTTGCTTCCCTAAACAGGGGAAAAAGTGTAGTCAAAATAAATGGCAATCCAGCTTCCCACAAAAAAAAAAAAAAGAAAAGAAAAAGAGAACAGAAGAAACAAAATAAATTTCAGTCTTAACAAAAAAAATAACTCGCATGTTTGGGTTAAATGAGTCCTCCCACAAGAGGATTAAAGCTCTTTCAACACACTTTTGTCAACAACACGTTAACCACAAACACAAGCAACGTCAGCAGAAGGTACTCTTGCTCCAAGCTTCCACCCTTTAGACATCTCAGCTCTGCCTTTTAACTCCAAACATTTCCTCTAGTGGGCCAATCAGGATAGTGCAATCATCAGCAGAATCATCATCTAATTGAACTCCACCTGTTAGCAGACCCGGACTGGCCATCGGGCCATCAATGTACCTAAGTGATCATTTCCGTTTTTGTCATTCGATAATAAATCATAAATCGGTTAGTCTTGACTGACAGCGCTGCACTCTAATCAGCTCACGTGTGTTCCGCGCTTCCGTCAAACGGTTCCGAACAGAACCGATGCGCGGGACTCGATGAAAGAGAGAAAGCGGCCAGAAGAAGCAGTGAAATGTAGCAACATCACTGATCTGTGCAGGGCTTCAAGTGCAGGTCAGTTTCATCTGTAAATATGCTATAGTTTTGTCTTTATTAACCTAGTTGAGTATTCAACTGCTAGTAGGCTATCAATAGCACCCCATTATTATCACCATTCAGAATACTGCGCTAAAGGACATCAATATCGATTGTAATGTTACATTAAAAAATTTAGCTGAGACAGATATTCACATGGATTTATTGTACAGGGAGGGAAGGAGCTAGAGCAGACAGCAACACAAAAATACGTCACAGCCTAATAATTCAATAGTGTGTTCTAGGGTTGGGCGATGTCTACCAAACTGTGTTGAACTGTGTTAAATAGGATGCTATTATCCAAAATGAATTCCAGTAATTTTGAGGTACTTTTTATTATATATTATTTTTATTTATTTTTTTTATATTTACATTTGTTGATTTGTCACAATTCTGACCATGACCTTAAACATCAATGTTCAAATATCTTGTTCTCCATGAATTACTCCTGTATTGTATTATTATTTACTTTTTGTGTGCACATTCCTTGTTGCTTATTTTTGACGGCATGCGTGTTCCTGGGAAACCAAGCCCATGACCTTTCCCTTGTTCGCGCCATTCTTTATCAGTTAGTCTAAAGGAATATCATGCTTGGCTTCCCTCACAACCTCAAGTTTTTTGGGGCAGTGTGAACATGACAGTAGTTTCTCAACTTTCTGAATACACCAGACAACTTGTTTGAAACTTCAAAATATATATCTTTGGTGAGGCAGTGTCAACCAACCAGTTGACATGTTTTTATTCAGAATAGCCAAACTCTGGTTTGGCCTCAAGTAAGCTTCCCAGATGGAAAAAGACCTCAGTCACAAACAGAGCCCACTATTCAGGGCTGTTATATTTCATGGCTACCCTCATATCTTACCCCAGTGTCCTGAAATATTCTAAAAAAAAAAACCTTTTGGTTATGTTTCAGTTGCAAAGTTCTTCCAGCAGCTCTAAGTCTGATAAAGTAAGTTGAATGTTTGATTTTGTTCTTTTTTTTCCTCATCACTTGAATTGTGTGTCTCATCTTGTCACTTATAATTTTAAGGCTTCAGTGTTTAATATTTGCTTACTTTTGAAAAAAAGAGTTACAAGTCCACCAAGGAAACCCACCTTAAATTTTGCCATTTCTGTAAGATGAGAGCATTATGATGCATGCATGAAGTCTCCAAGATTATTAGATCAGGAAAGTAATGGGCCATAATGAAAATCTGTACTTCTGTCAGTCTTTCTTATCCTCAAATAAGAGCTATGGGCCTGAGGGAGTAATCTTGATTTTTATTTATTTATTTATTTATTTATATTTCAAGATGTTTGTCTCAAGTTTACCTACTGGGATCAGTAAACAATGTTTATCTACCTGTCCTGACAAACAAAACACAGCTATTGTTGTTAAAACAGTGATTCTCAACTGTTATCTAATGCAATATTCAAGATATTTCCTCTAGTATTTCTGCTGTAATTATGATAAAATTTGTTTTCAAACTTTTATATTACCAGAAAATGGGAGTAATAATAGATTAAAATTAAACATAATTAACTGTGTAATTCCTGATGCATCAAGAACTGCATTTTCTTTTTTTTCTTTTTTTTTGGTAAAATCAACAGTTGTTGATCGGAAAAAATGTTGGTAGATGTTGTACATCAAGATTTTTAGAAAATGTTTTAGAAAGCATTTTAGTTAAATTAGATTATAATAATATTCAACATTTTTAACACTTAAAACACTAATAATAATAACACAATCACAAAATGTAAATCAAGTTTTCATACTGTGCATTATAATATTGTGGTACCTAAATTCACTTGTAGTCTTTAATATGATTTATTTTAGTTTTTAGTGTTGTGTTTTTTTTTTGTTTTTTTTGTTTTTTTTCTTCATTTTTCATTTAGACAAAATGGTATAGAATTTTAATATTGTCCATTTATCATTTTTGGTTATAACATGAGAATTATCAGAATTTTAATAATGGTACATTCCTAAACTTTAAATAATTAAGTCATCTTATTCCCCCTTTGAAGGTTATGTAGTAGGTGATTTAGGAAATTTATATTATCCTGTATTCCTGTTTGATTTAATTAAAATTGCACTTGTTTGCCTGATTTTAAACTAAACGTTTATTTTAAACAGCCTGAACCACCGAAGAAACAGTCCAATTGGCGCCGAAAGCATGAAGAATTCATTGCCACCATTCGCGCTGCTAAAGGTTTAAATCAAGTCATGAAAGATGGTGGACCCCTTCCTCCACCCCCTCCTCCATCCTATGATCCAGGTAAAAAAAAAAAAAAAGTTTGACACTTGGAATAGTTACAGTAAGATCGGTAAATACAGTAACAGCGATTGACTTTTCCAGATTATATCCAGTGTCCCTATTGCCAGCGACGCTTCAGTGAGAATGCAGCAGATCGCCACATCAAGTTCTGTAAAGAGCAAGCATCCAGAATCTCCAACAAGGGCAAGTTTCCTGGGAGTGATAAAGCCAAACCGCCAGCCAGGACTCAGGTGAGGCTTCAATGAAGATTACTTGGGATCAGCCAGGAGGTGTTTTTTTTTTTTTTTGTAACTTAGATCCATATACCATTTTAATGTGATAGATAGACATAAACGGAATTATCAGAGAGTTAATATGAATACATTTTTAAATTTTAAAGGCGCGTCAGTATCGACATATCGATACTTCGGATCGATACGCACATCCCCCCTAACAGTGAGTGCGTCACCTGTCTGGGCAGCACCCATACAGAGGCTGCGCTCACTGAGGCGGCATGCTCTCTCTGAGCAACCCTCTACATTGCGAGTAAATCACTCGCATATGCGACTAAATCTTCACTCTGGCGACTAAATGATGTCTAATATTAGCCAATGGCTAATAAATTCTCAGATTTTACTTGCCAGTGTGTGAGTTGGAGGCCAAGTATAAGTTTAGCGCAGATATATTTTCACTCGCCGAACACTCTCTGACTGGTTGAGTTATTTTGAGGGGACAGCAAATTTACACTGTTATACAAGCTGTACACTCACTACTTTACATTGTAGCAAAGTGTCATTTCTTCAGTGTTGTCACATGAAAAGATATAATAAAATATTTACAAAAATGTGAAGGGTGTACTCACTTCTGTGAGATACTATATATATATATATATATATAATTTTTCCAGGTTGATGCATCTCACCAGTTTGATACATTTTTGTACATTCTGACATGAACATTATAGCATTCACACTCCTGTAACATGTGACTGGACACATAATATGTTATACAAAGACAAATGTTGTTAAACCAATTGTTTGTTCATTTGAACAAATATTTTCATGTGAAAATAGTAAATGGTTTCCTGCTAGACAAGTGTTTCCTGTTATACCCTAACAAGAAATTAATCAAGTCCAGGGGCCGTATTCACAAAATATTTTAAGGCTAAAAGTAGCTCCTAACTTGTCGATTTAGGAGAAAAGCAGCAATTACCAGGGTTCATGCGCTTTAAGGCCTTTAAGGTTCTATGGTTTTAGGGTCTAAGCCAACCCAACTGACACTAAAACGCATCCATGATGGAGAATCATGGATTCTCAGACACACACAGAATGAAATAGATAAATTAATACTTACACATACACACACATTTTGTTGCAGATATAGATATTTTAAATAAATGGTAGGCAAAAAAATCATCTTCCTGCAAGTCATCTCTTTTTAAGAATTCATATATAATTTTCAGGTATCACTGAAATCTTAATGTGGCATAATTGTAAAAACTGATATGTCTGTAAAAATGAAGTGGTAAACTTTGACTAAATGTGATTTTTAAATGTAATAATGATTTTATAGTGTCTAAATATAAATTCAAAAGTAAAACCTGAGAAAAGAAGAATATTAGTGAGTAGAATAAGACCATTAGTGGTTCTCTTCTGCCTAGTGGTGCTCTGTAGTGGTTATAAATGCAATTTCAAATGGAAATTTACAATAGAAGTATAGTGTTTTTAACCTTTATAATTATTATAGTGCCATTATTTTGTCCAGTCTCCATAAAATTTTGCAGGCTTCTTTAGAATCAGAGTTTGAAGGTATGAAAGAGTTTTCTTTTAGAATTTATAGGATTTGGGCAAGACCATATTTTTAAATGGCCCTGTTATAGCTGGGCAAGAAGTAACAACTATTCTTGAGTCCAGTTTGGTTTTCTTTCACATTTGCACAATGTCTTACTATCAGCCATAATTATTCTAAGCTGTTAATTAAAAGGCTGCTTATATGCATATCAACTAATTGTTTACAAGATGCAGACATGCAGGAGGCTGGCAATTACTTACATATTTAATTATACAATTAATACATGTTTAATCAGTGACACTTGGTCTACATTTAAAAAAAAATATTTTAATATGGCAACATGATACCTCAATCTACAATATTTCTGTAAGTAAATCACTGACAGAGACCCATCCCCTATCATTCAATCACTGTGGGCATAGTTAGTAAGCTTGTTGACATCATCCATAGCAACGAGGTCAACTCCGCCCTTTCTCTTAGCTTAATTGCTCCCCATTCTTAGTAAAAGTTGGTCTCTGTAGCTTTGTAAATAGGTTTTAAGAGGAAACTCTTACCTATAAACCTTTGCTCCTATTTAGAAGAACTCTTAGTGGTGAGAATTTTTTTTGTGAATACAGCCCTAATTTGCTGCCTGTGGGCTGCCCATAACAACCATATTTTTCATCTAAACTGCTTACGAAAAAGAACCATGTATAATGCAAATTAAGGGGTCACAAATGAAACTAGACCATAAACTCAACTGCTTGACTGGGCGGCACTAAAGTGTATGCGTGCATGTCTAAATATTGCTCTGCAATGTGTGTAGATATTGATACCTCATGTTGCCTTAATTATATTCCCCTCAATTGCACCATTTGTTTAGAGTGCTTTGAGTGGATTGATATAAACATTGCATGTTTCTGTGTCTACAGTACAAACCTCCACCAAAGGCAAATTCTCCCGCTGTATCCACAGTGTCTTCTCGTCTACCTCAGCGCTCAGCATATGGGCAGAGTGCTGGCACAGGTATGGACTTGTTTTAATCAATTATTTCCCTCTTTAATCAATTATTTCCTTGTTATTTTATCAAGAATCACTTTTGTGAAACTTGACACAACCAGAGCTATTAAACTTACAGGATTGCTCCTGTGTTTGGCCACTTTAGTGAGCAAACAAAATCAGTTTTTATTGCTTCAAATCCAGCTTGTATTATTTGGAATATTTTTATATAATTTTATATTACATATAAAAAAAATTTTCAATTAGCTTTTATTTTTTTATTTTCAGTTTGCATTTTAATTTTAAGTTTTAGAAATTTTGTTTTGTGCTTTTGTCAGCTTTATGGTGTTTTACTTAAATCACTTTTACTTCAATGGCTATAACTTTTGGAAATAATGAGATATTGTAACCATATGTGGGACAGATGTGTATGGGCTCAATCTTAAAGGGGTAATATGATGCTGCTAAAAAGAACATTATTAGCAACTTTACAGATCTTCTTTATGCACCAAGAGCTTGTAACACTCCAAAGAGAAAGGAAAAATTGAAATCGCATCATATGACCCCTTTAAGTCTGAAGTCCTTAAAAAATTTGGTGTTTGGCCACTTGGTGGCGCTATATAAGGAAAATAGACAGTATAGAAATGTATTATTTTTTTGTTGTTGTTGTTTAAATTTAAAATTTTATTTTAGCTTTATTTCAATTACCAAAAATATTTTTTACGTTTTTATTTATTTTATTTTTTTTTAGGTAACAGTTACAACAGGTATTGTTCTAATTTCGTCCTGCCTCCAGTTATCTCCTTTTAATATTTTTTTTTTTTAACATAAATAAAATTTTAAAATGTGACCCTGGACCACAAAGCCAGTCATAAGGGTCAATTTTTTTAAATTGAGATGTATACATCACATGAAAGCTGAATAAATAAACTTTCCATTGATGTATGGTTTGTTAGGATAGGGCAATATTTGGCTGAGATACAACTATTTGAAAATCGGGAATCTGAGGGTGCAAAAAAAATCAAAATATTGAGAAAATTGCCTTTAAAATTGTCCAAATGAAGTTCTTAGCAATGCATATTACTAGTCAAAAATTAAGTTTTGATATATTTTCAGTTGGAAATTAACAAAATATCTTCATGGAACATGATCTTTACTTAATATCCTAATGATTTTTGGCACAAAAGAAAAATCTGTAATTTTGACCCATACAATGTATTTTTGGCTATTGCTACAAATATACCCCAGTGACTTAAGACTGGTTTTGTGGTCCAGGGTCACAAATAGTCTTTTGACTCCCTTCAAAACATTTAAAATGCACATTAGTACCATTGAGTTGACAAGCATCCATCACTTTTAAGAGGTTTTAGTGTGCTCCTAAAATACTTTATATTTTTGTTTATATATATTCAGATATTTCTGCCTCTGTTCCTCACACAAAGCAAAGACTTAGAGAACATAGTGTAGAAATGGTATTTTATTATTCATATTAAAATAAGGACATAAAAAAAGGCTCTGTCAATGGTTCGAAAAGCTCTTTCCCCTCTCCCTCCACAGGTATTCCTAGCAGCAAAACCTCATCCACTGGCTTAGTGAAGAGCATATCATCAGGATACTCTCCATTACGGAACTCCTCCTCTGGCTTGACCAGCCCTCCCTCCGAGTAAGACACCAGCTCACTGAGCAGTCCTGATATTTTACATTTTCTTCAGGCTTTTAAGATCATCAATATGTTTGTGTTTGCAGAGGGAATATGAAACCCAAGGGCATGGTTTCACAAAGCTCGCTGAGAAATCCACCTTCTGGAATAGGGATGAACAAGAAGAAGGTCCAAAATGCAGACAACTGTATTTCAAGGTATGAAGTTGCAAGTATTGGTGTACAACACCGCTGTACTGTTAATTGTGAGTGACTTCTTGGGACTTGGTGATGAATGCAAATGAAATTGACTGGGAGAGATCCATCAACTGCTCCTATTAAATCCCTTTTTTTAGTCTTTCCTAGTTCACAACATCAGTTACAAAAGGTCTTTTAGTCAGTTGTCAGTGTTTTTAGGCCAGTTTTTTTTTTTCTAACCTAACCTCTGGGTTGCAGTATTGTTTTAAATAGTCCACATTGACTCATTCACGTCTTGATCTTATTTTGTTAGGAATGATGTGAAAAATGAAAATGAAATCAATTTTTCCACAACGGGCACCAAGTTTTGCCATGAGTGTGGGACCAAGTACCCTGTGGACTGGGCCAAGTTCTGCTGTGAGTGTGGAGTGAAACGAATGTGCATTTAATAAGTACACATAATAGTAAGACTGACTCACTGTAGCCTAAAAAAACTGAGTATTCCTTTCCAACCCAAGAACTAGTGTACTTGGCAAATCCTTGTGCTGTACAAATATTTCACTTGCAATCTGCTTTTGTTTCTATAGAATGAATCCCATCTCAACCTTCTGCTGTTTTTTTTTTTGTTTTTTTTTGTAATATGAAAGTGCAATATGATTGGTTACTGCTACAAAAGTAGTAGTATTATCACCGTTATAGTTATGATTAAAATATTGATATGTTAAATTGATCTAGGCTTTAAAATGGGACCATATCACACACAAAATGCAACTATTCTAATGTTAACAGGTCAATGTCTTATTGTAGTGTCATTTTGAGGGAATTCAAATGCTATCGTTGTTTTACTTAAAATATATAT